ACTATATCTTTTATCATTTTCTATATTTTTATTTCTTTCTTTAATTCACTTGTTTATGTAGCACAACAACTACTAGAAAAGTCAGTGACAATTAAGAAGTGGATGAGAATTCCACATTGAGAACTTACTAGTCTATTATCATTTCAAAATATCTTGGAAATATTCTCAATTTTGATAATTCTTTCTATTGATATTCCATTTATCTTATTTTGATACATTATATACTACTGCATTTGTATGCATGTGTAGTTATGTGTTGAAAATCATATGGATTTTAATGTCTGCACAGCACCAATAATTCTCAATTTCTATTGCCATATTCATATTTGAAAGCTTACATACACATATTATAATGTTTCTTTTAGAAGTAATTATTAATTTTTTAAATAAAATAATTAAATAAACTATATAAGTATTTTATAATTTTGTCTATAGACATTTTAATGAAAAATTTGAAAAACTATATAAATAATCACATATACATAATAATTAGTTTTTTTTAACTAATAATAAATAGTTCATTCAATAAACAGAAAGAGCAAAAATATTAAATAGTATTGAAAATTTTTCTCTACGTTTCTCTCATAGTATTCCCAATAATCAAGAAGTTTAATATAAAATTAAAGTGTAATAATTATTAACTTCAATTACTAATGCAAGGTTTAAAGCCAAAAGTCCTAATTATTCATACTTGTTATAATTATAATTACTCCATTAGAATTACAGATAAAAATGTTCAATGATATATAATATGTGATATTTATAAATGCATGCAATCATAAATTGTTCAATGAGAGTGATATTGTGCAATCATAAATTGTTCACTTGGCACTATACTATGAAGTATAATAAAGTACCCTTGTCATCAACATTATCATTTTAGTTGTTTTTTGTAACGTCACCAATACTATAATAATTAATTACAATTAAGAATTGCCAGAACATAGTAGTGAATGACATCTTAGTTCTATGACCTTATTAGTCTATTATTGTTTCAAAATATAAAATAAAAATTGAGAAGTCTGACAATTTTTTCTGCTCAGAGACCATTTACCATATTTTACAACATACATATATATGTATAAATATAAAAATATACTGGGAATCATACACTTAATAATGACAAAGGAACATCAATAATTTTCAAATAACAATACAAGTTCATATTTCGTAAAACACAAACACTTATTGCAAAGTCAGTTTTAGAATTGATTATAAAATAAATAATTACAAAAATTAATTATATTTTTCCTAATGTTTCATTTAATAAATAGAAATAGCCAAAGTATTAAATAATATTGAAAATTTTCTCTTTTTGTCTCATATTTCTATCACTAACCAAGAAATTTGATATAAATTGAAGTATGGTGAAGGTTAACTATAGTTACTCTTAGTAACATGAAAGGCTTGAAATCTCAATGATATTTATTTTAATTGCAATTACTTTATTAATATTATATATAAAAAAATATGATATTGAATAATATTTATGAAAGTAAACTCATGTGTGGTTAACACAATCTACTTGACCCAAAATTGTGAAATTTAATAGGCTATTTATTTATTTTTATTTCATCTGCTACATTTTCTACAATAGAAAAGAGATTTTTATAAAAGATTTAAGTTAAATAATAATGAGAAGAGAAGAACACAACACAATTTTTTAACAAAAAAATTATTTGAGATAAACCTAAAGCATATTATTTTACCTTCACACCTCTTCACATTTACTTTTTAGTTTAACTCTAATTCAAATTTTTTTATGATTGTCAATCACTCATACTAAAATTATTCACACCATATTTTAGTTATGAAATGGTTAGTTGTTTGTCACTAAAAACTATTGGCTGTCATCTTGTCTATCAATAAATAGGCCTCATTTGTCTCTTTCTTCATAATGATTCATTTGGAAATTGCATCAACCACGGACCTATTAGAGAATGATAATTTATTGTATTAAGAGTTGCAACCATCGCTAAATAAGAAACTTATGGTGTGAGCATTTCTTTAAAATCACTCTTAATAAGCATATATTTTACAATATTTTATAGATTATTTGATATGTTTAGCCATTATTTGATGAGGGTTTTGTACTTATTTATTATTTGTTTTATTTTAGCATAAAAAGGTTACTAGTGCATTATTGAAGATTTTTTGCAATAATTACATAAAATTTTAGGCAATAAGCATGCCCATGCTTGACAACCTAACTGAGGGTGTATCAATGACATGCACGATTGTACTTCTTATCTAGTGATTCAAATTTAAATATTTTTAGGGTATTGAGAACCCTATTTATGGAGCAAGTGGGATTGCAGAAAAGAGAACTTTGACAAGGTCAATTTTTGACAAATCTTGGAGCCGTTTAAGAGTGGAGACCACATGTGAAGATGTAGGATACTTCTCCGAGATTTAAGCAAGTGATCAAGAGCATGTTTTGAGAATAAGAACTCCTCTCACCTTTTTCTCGTGGAATTCTTCTAGTTTGATTTTCTATTTCAAATGAATATGAGTTTCTTTGCATTTGTTTGCTTTGTTCATATTATTATGAGTAACTAAATCTATAACTAGAGTTATAGTAGATATTTTTGTATAATTTTATGTAAATTTTATATTTAATAATAATTTTAGTATTTTTTTTCTTAATTGATTTTTGTTCTAGCAAGTTTATGTATATATGTTTAGAATTAACGACTTTTAATATGTCATAATTGATTACATTGCTCTTAGTGTATATTTGTATATAAGTTGATGATTATAATTATTTTATAGTAATTAACATTTGCAAAAAGTAAATTAAAATATAGAAGTCACAAGAATAGATTTTATAAATAAAATATATAAATAATTAAATATTTTATAAATAAGCATGTGAAACGCATGTACATAATAACTAGTTTGCTTCCTTCTATAAATAGAAAGAATTAAAATTGTAGTAATACAAACGTTACTCTTTCTCTCTATCATGTTTCTAGACCAAGAAATGTTTATGATTGTGTTCTCTCATAATCATTTGCTAAATCAAATAATTAGGATATAAAAAGAATGTTCATAATATAAAAGGTTTATAGTGCATGTACTAACAATATTACCTCCATTGTCAAGAAATTTCTTTGTAAATTAAAGCATATGGTTAACTTGTTGATACAAAATTTTTGATTTTAATGGCTTAAAGTTTATGTCAAAAGCTATGAAGAAAATTTTAGGTAAAATAATTTTACCCGCTTGTAATTTTACACAATCCATTTCTATTCTTGTGTTGATCACTTGTAATTTATTGAGCTCCTTTCTTCTATCAAAGAGATCCTAAATTTAGATTTGCAAGATAGTATCTTATAATAATGCATACTTGGTCCTAGTAGCTCTCCGATAGTCTTGGAAATGAACAAACATAATCTTTAGTGATAACATATGTCTCAATAAATTCATGTATCTCAAGCTAAGTTTATTATTTTTTGCTCCAAATAAATCAGTAATAGTAGTTCTTTTATCTCTCCACCCTCCCCATTTATTAAATTGAATGTCCATGTAGATTCTTTTCCACCAATCGTATGTTTCCCTCTACCCTTCCTCTTTGCTAAATTGAAATCGATAGTTATTATGTACTTTTTAAAAAACATGAGAGTTTAAAAATTTATTTTTATAACAGAACTCAAAATCTAAAACTACTTTTTTTAATTGAGGTAAAATTATTTTGAAATAGTGTTAAAACAAATTTAACTTCATTTTAACATGTTTTTTTTAATTTAAATTTAAAAATAAAAAATGAAAACTTGCGGCCACCCTAATAGGCCATTGGTTTTAAAATTTATCTATTGCAATTAAAATTGTCCCTAAAATATTTTCACTTTAATTCAAGTTAAATGCAGGGGATGTAATGGAAAATATGACGAATTCAGAAAATAATAAATTATTGAAGACTAATCTGAACTGTAGGCCCTTCTAAATCTTAAATGGCCTCTGATTGATGAAGGATAAGAACTGTAACAGAGTCATTGTTAAAATATACTCTTAAGATTGTGATTCAACTAATTGAAGCAGCCATGGACAGATCACACAAATTTTATCCGTAAATTAGAGACATTTGTTGAGATGGAATATTTCAAAAAAATTTCATTTGTATAAGGAAGTTAAAAAAATGTGGTAGAGAAGCTAATAGATGTGCTTACTGGCCAGCTGATATGGTTCATAATGATCATGTGACTTGTCGAAAGCTTAACATAACTCCACCTTCCCTTATCCCAGTGTTAAGAGAAGATGCATAATATGGCCCATAATATATGATCATACTTTCCCCAACCCATTGAAGGACAACTTTGGAATCTAAACGAGTATCCTTTTCATGAATTTTTCCTTTAAAGTTTAAAATCCCAAATACCCGAAAACTAAAATCAAATACAAGAAAAATAATCTTATGACTTTAATACATCTATTACAAAATGACTATATATTTAGGCATATATCCAATAAAAAACAAAACTAAGCACCCATCTTAACAACATTCAATATCCCGAAATCAAAATGTTTTAATAAGTTTTTATTTTACTTTTCAACGAGTGAGGCTAATAGGCTATCCTATTTGTCGTTTTTAACTTAAGCATTTAATTAGACGAGAAAATGTTAATAACAAATTTTTTAAGACTCTCTTTCAAACATTTTTTATTATTAACTAAAATTTCTTAAAAATTATAAGAATAAGTAAATTTTACTCTTAATTTACTAATTTTTACTCTCTTTTTTAGGAAAATGTTAAAAAAGTGTGTAAGAAAATATATTTCTAATGCTACTTTAATTAAATTATCTTACATTAAGCACTTTTAGAGAGAGAAAGAGAGAGAGAGAGAGAGAGATCAAGTTAGTTTGATTTACTCACAAGTTAATAAGTGAAGAAAAATATAAATTAGTAAAAAAAAAAGTTAATATTTGTATAGTCAAACCCATCTAATTTTGCATAATTGTGCATTTAATATTATGTTGAAGAGGGTAACAAAGTCCAATTCAAGGCAAATTAGCTTTTTTGCTTTAAAATCATCATGGATGAGCCCAAAAGATATTTTTGAGAATCTAGATTACATGTATACTTAACAGGATGCTATCTTGCTTTAGGTAAAGTCACCGTTAAATATTGTGTACCTAGAGACCAAGATATTTTGGCTCAAATCTCAAATACGAAGCTGAGAGTTCTAAAAGAAAATCCGCAAAATTAACCGAACTTTTAAGGTAAAACACTCCAAATAACACCTATACAAATATAACTTTTTAAGAGAAATTGATGTAAAATGCCAAGATAAAACCACTAGAAATAATCTCAGCAAATAGAGTTGTCCAATCCAACCTCAAGCTCTTGTATTGTTTCAATGAGTATTTGCAGCCACCTTCTTGTACCTGTACCTCTTTGCAACCCAGAGATATACAAGGAAGTTGAGAAAGCTGAGAATGGACAAAAACCAGTAAAAGTAGTCAAGATGGCCTCTATTAAGATTGTCGGGAATCCAACCAAGCCTCCCATGCCTTGTGGTGACTTTTGTCACAATAGTGACAAGCAGAGTGCTAATGTAATTTCCCAAGGCATTAGTTGTGAGTGCGAGAGCCACACCCAAGCTTCTCATAGCATCTGGTGCCTGACCATAAAAGAACTCTAGCTGACCAATATTGGTGAAAACTTCAGCACATCCAACAAGAAAATATTGGGGTACTTGCCAGAAAATTGACATGGGAATGGTCTCAAGGTCATAGTAGATGTTTTTCCTCACTATGTCAAGGCGAACAACCTCCAAAATGCCAGCAATAATCATGGCAAAAGTGGAAATGACAAGGCCAATTCCCATTCTTTGGAGTTGTGTGAATCCTTGTTCATGGCCAGTGAACCTCCTTACAAATGGAACAATGATACGGTCATACACTGGAGCCCAAAAGATGACACTAAGAGTGTCGAAAAGGGAGAGGGATGCTGATGGGATCTTGAAGTGAGGACCAATATGTTGGTCCATTGTGTTGCCTTGTAAAACAAACATGGTGTTCATTTGGCTGTATACAGTTGCAAAGGCAATCAATGATGCCCAAACTGGGAGCAAACAGATTATTGATTTGAGTTCCTCAACTTGTGTTACTGTGCAAAGCCTCCAAGGACTTGGCAAACCTTTCATGTGGTCTGATTGGGTCTCTACTGCTGCCTTATCCAAACACCTACATGGAATCAAAATTTGTTTTATCAGAAAAGGCATTAAGAATGTAAATCAAACTTTAGGGTGCAAGAGTTAACAATAGATGCTTTAGATGAAGTCTAATAAAAGATGCATATTCAATATATAGAAGTTATTAGTTCATTTGACCATTGTAATGAGACAATCACTCCAGTGTACTTTTTGTTGACTATATACATTTGTATCGTACACTTAAATTAGAATAGTAAAAAGAGAGAGTGCCCAAGAATCAAAAGAAAATGAATAGTACATGAATATTTCATTTTCCTGGCTGATGGTATTATGTGTATGGTTTAGCTTATTTGGAGGAATGACTGTTTATTTTTGTCAGTTTCCTAAGAGAGCTTTAGAGAAATAAGCAGTTATTTTCCCAAAATTAATCCCAACAAAAAATGTACTTAATAAATAGAAGTAAATGTAACTGTGTCTTTGATAACTCACTTGAAGTGGTTTGTGTAAAGATGCGCTTAATTTATAGAAGTAGATGTATGTCTTTGATAATTCACTTGAAGTGGTTTGTGTAAAAACGCACTTAATTTATAATTTATTGAAGTAGATAAAAGTGTGTCTTTGATAGCTTACTTGAAGTGGGTTGTGTGATCAAGCTTGCGGCTCCCTTTGATGACAGATTCTACATCTACAGTCTCATGAAGAAGAGAGTTATCATCAGGCAATTTATGTCTGATTTTCCTAGAGGCTGCAACTATGACTTGACAAATCCTTGTAAGGGGACTGCCTCCAGGTATTTGAAGTCTGTAGAGCTTACTCCCACCAAAGAAAAATATAATTGCAACCACCATTGCAACAGCAGGAACTCCAAAACCCCATCCCCAACCCACATTCATTTGTATCCAAACTAATACTGAGGAAGCTATAAGAGCACCAATATTAATAGAGAAGTAAAACCAGTTGAAGAAAGAGCCCTTCCTCATTCTCTCTTTCTCATCCGCTTCATCAAATTGGTCTGCACCAAAAGCTGAGACACATGGTTTGATGCCACCAGTTCCAAGAGCAATCAAGTAGAGTGCTATGAAGCAAGCCGCGGTTTGTGCCGATGTTGGATGGCAACCATTAGCATCACATGAAGGCTTTAGTCCAGGGACAGTAGCAGACAGTGTTAAAAGTATCATTCCCTGTGTAGTAAACAGACATCCATTAAGAAAAGGTTAATGCTTGCTGTGTTTATCTTTTTATTCCTCATAAAAAAAGGCTCTCAAAGGCAGTTCAAATATAACAGAAGTCGAAATCAATTGAAACTTTTAAATGGAACAAGTGAAATGTGTTAGTTAAAAGATAGAGTGAAGATTAAAAGATGTTAAATTGTTCTCAAAACATAATGAAACCAAACACATTGCTCTTAGTTGAGTTGATAACAACATGATTGGCAATTCAGTTGGCTTAACATAAGGAAAATAAATAAATAAATAACAAAAAAATTTGAGTATAAGTTCTGAAGATTTTGGAATTTTCCTGTTAGGGTAATATCATAGATAAAGGCAGACAACATGAACTAGCACAAGAACAAGATTTACATGATCATCAAAACATTGATCCTTGTCGACTTTGAACACTAAAATATAAACTGTCAGAAGAGTAAAAGTTAAATGCCCTTAACATAAAATGGGCCTCAACAAACAAGTAAAATTTTCTCTTACAATGACATAGATAGTTGAGAAACTGGCAATTGTCCAGTATCTTCCCAAGTATGAATCAGCTAAAAAGGCTCCAAGCAATGGTGTGATGTAGCATGTGCCTGACCAAGTTGTGACATTATTTGCAGCAGTTGCATTTCCCTGGTTGAAACGTTCCTGAAGATAGTTCACCAGGTTTGTACTCATACCATAGTATGCCAATCTTTCACAACATTCATTCCCTGCCACAAATGTTTTAATTAAAATTCCGCATCTTAGGTTTTCAAACTCTAATACAAACATATGTACGAGATTTCTGACTTAAGTGTACACAATATAGTTTCTAAGAAAACAATAAAGAAGAAGAAACCAATACCAAGAATAAAAGAGCAAGCTTTCCAATTTCCAGTTTTTTTCTTGTTGGCAGGTTTTCTGGAGATGGTAATGGTCCCATCTTGTGTATATATATCATCATCACTTGCCATAGTATCAATGCAGATTTTCCTATTCGCTGATTCCTTTATCTCTTTGTATTCGTCAAAGGCACAGTTACCTACAAGAAATCAAGTTGATATCTTGTAAAGATAAATGAAAATATAATCACATATCATACATACAAACTATGAGACAGAACTCTCAATTGAATTGGCCAACTGGGAAATTTTGAATTAACAAAAACTGGAACATTGATATAGTCTCAAAGAGATAAGAATGAACCCCTTAATTTCAAACTTCAGCAACCATTACAATGTTGTAAAAGTTTGACAAATGCTAAATTCAAAATCTTTTTGTTTCCTTGTTGCAGAATGCACGTAATGATATCACAAGCACCCAAAAAACAAGCCAACCTCGTGATAACAACACCTATCAGAAACGATGGACACATACCATATAAGGGGAATCCACGTTTCACTTTCTCAATATAACAAAAAGGCAAAAAGCTTACACACACGCAGTGATCTCTAATAGCACAAAAGTTTGTAACGTTAGAGCTTTTGGCTTAAAGGTACAATTTTTTTCTCCTCTTTTGTCAGGAGCCAAGGTAGAGACCTACAACTAATAATATCGAAGTAAACATCAAATTATGACAATTCAAATATTTATACAGACACATTTAATTAAAATTCAAGAAAAAATAAAATATAAAACACACAAAAAAAATTTAGACCCAATTCAAAATAAAACAAGTCTAAGAGTAACGTCAACATGATTAAATTTGTTGTCCATGCTTAGGGTAAAAAGGATTGATTAGTAGCAAAGAATTATTAAAACTCCAGTTTTATGAATATAATGGCTGAATTCAAAGAGTGAAACCACGAATTTATTGGTAAAAATAATTCAAAAGAACCACCAAACCTAAATCCGATGTGATGAGAAAAATAAAAAAAAGAAGAAGCACAATGCACGTAATTGTGGAAAAGTACAGAGTGGAGGAAACCATGAAATTGAGATTCTTATTATTAGCTAATTGAAAAGGGTTTGCACCTTGTCGTGAGTGAACAACACTAGAAAGAGCGGTGCAAAATATCACAAAACAACGTTGCTGTATCTCGAAGGCATTTTCGTCAAATCACGTCTACGATGGCCTCATGCGTCATCTTCTCTCTGTATTTTTCATTTATTTTTCTTCGTTTCAGAGTTTATATACATGCACAAGTGAAAGTGCGTTGACCAAAAACAAAAGTAAAAGGGTTATTTTCTTTCGAGAATGAAAAAAAAAATATTATATTTTGTATGAGTGTTTAAAATTTTAAAAAAGGATTTGTGTGTTTAAATTTCAAAAAGTGGGATGACGAAAAATTTATAAAAATGTATAAAGATAATTTTTTATTTAAAAAATTTAATGCAAAATAAAATTTATTTTATATTTAATTATAATTTAAAAATTACCCTTTTAAGAAAAAAATGATTTTTAAATTTTTAATATAATAACATAAAATTATTTTGTCAGAAAAATATAATAAATGACCATAAAAAATTCCTTATCTTGAAAGAAGAAAGGATAACAGGTTATCTAAAAATATATTTTTGTTTATTTATTTATTATGATAAGTCACACTAGATTAAAAATAATCAGCCTATCTTGCTTATTACTTTTGTTTTTCTTATCATTATGTTTTTTTATAACTTAATCTTTATTTATTTTTAAATATTAAATGTGAGTCATTTTAAAAAAAATATTTAGAGGAATTATTTTAAAATACGTTAGAAAATTCATAAAAATATTAAAAACAGATTTGTCAAGTTTTTTATTTTTTTAAATTATATTTTTCCAATTCAAAATATCTGAGAAGTGATTTTTTAAAATGCTTTTAAGTAAAATATCTTCAATTATAATATACATATGTCGACATCGAGTTTAGAGTCGAGACAAAGTCCGTGAGTCAAGATTGAGGTTTGATATTACAAAGAGTGAGGGGCTAATATCAAATTTTCATGACGCAATGCTAATAAAGATAAATAAAAAATAAGATAATAAAGATGTATTATTTAGATAGATATTTATAAAAAGAAAAAAAAACTTTGTATTATTTATTTAGATGAATGAAAAAGAAAACAAAAAATATTTTATATTAAAAAAATAAATTTTTTAACATAATATTTTTCAGTACTTATGCTTTTATTATTTTAAAATTCATAAATTTATTTTGAAAAATATTTTCAGTAAAAAAACAAACAAACAAACCCAACGTAAAATTAATAATTATTATATTAATTATTATAAAAATTAATAATTTTTTTACTAATAAAGTAATTTATCTCAGATTCAAAGAATAAAAACATAGTGTTTAAGTTAAATTCATGTATATTAATATTTAATAAATTAATTGTTATAACCTCTTATATGAGATTTTTCACTCGTCAGAGTAATTGAAGATGCTTCTATCAGTTTTGAGACTCACTTCTATTAGTTGTAGATTAGATTAGATTTTTTGCTCAGCCCTATTGGTGTGTGATAAATCAGACATTTATTAGAGCTTTGTACTAGGCCTTATTAAAAGTAATCTGAGCTTAATTTTGTAGGAGACCAAATTGCATAAAACCAATGCCGAAATTTTAAGGACAAAAATACCTACAACTTTTATGATACATCAAAGGCTAATTATGTCATCTTCATGGTCAAAAAAGTGAAAAACAAAAGCGAATTTTCAGAGACCATTAACGCCTCAAGGAAACTATCACATTTCTTAGAACTATTGTGCAACGGAAAACTCCCAAGGTATAATAGTTTGAAACTTCATGTCCGTTGATTAACTGCAAAGCTTAAAAGAAGTTACTCTATTTATGTTAAATTTGTTGCCAGATGCTACTTAACTAAAACATTTTACTTTCAATAACCTTTTAAAATCCAATGTGTATTCTTTTTTAAATAAAAAAGCAAATAAACAATGTGTTGATTTGATAGCAGCAGCCGCCTTTAATTTTTATATCACACTTTTCTGTGCTATTTTGCTTTTTTACCTTCACAGTGCTAAAATCTTTTGTAGATAATCTAAAGCTTTTATTTAATTTATATTAAAATTTTTATTTAACTTATATATAACATATTATAATTTATTATTTTACTGATTATTAAATATAAGTTAAATAAAAAATTTAAATTAAATATAAAAATTCTTAAATTTATATTTATATGAAAAGATTCTACTCATATATAAATATATATCTTCTATAAAATAAAATAAAATAATATCATATCCTAAAAATTGACTGCGGATGAAACAAATAGTCGTGTCAAACTCTTTAAAATTGTCTATCATTGATTTTTAATTAATTTTTATTTATAAATTAATATTAAAAAACTAATTAAAATTTTCTATCTATTTTTACTCTTAGTATCTTTTATTTTAATATTTATTTTATTTTGTTTTAGTTTTATAAATTTAAATATTGTTTATTCTATAAATAATAATAAAATAATAAACCTTTTTAATGCATCTTCTCATATTTTATTTTAAAATTTTATCTAGTTATCAATTTTTTTAATATTTAATTCTTTGAGTTATTATTATTATTATTATTATTATCTTATTTTATAATAAAATTTATCATGATCTAATTCTAACTAATTAAATAATTATGTTGTCAATCAATAAAAATATTTTTACATATTTTAACTTTTAATTATCATTAAGTTTTAATCTATTAATTAAGTTAAAAACATGTTAAAAATACGATTTATAACACTAATGTACAAGGTCTTTATCTTTATACGTTATACATTGTCAAAACTTAATTATGTGTATCAACGTTATCTTAAGTTTTATACAGGATTAATATTTTAAAAAATATAATAAAATAAAATTTTGGACTTCTAAAATTAATCAGGTATATGTTTTTTATTTAATTAAAATTTATTATCTAGAACATTTTAATCATATTAATGCAACGATTTATAATATTATTGTACAGCATCTTTATATTTATATATTTTAAATTGTTAAGATATTTGTATACCAACGTTACTTTGAGTCATATGTAATAAAAATTATCTTCTTTATTTAATTCAAATATTTTTTTCCTTCTTTCATTAAATGAAATTATTTTATATTTAAAATCTTTCTAAGTCATATTTCTAATTTTGATAAATTAAATAATTAAATATTTTTTTTATTATACAATCTTAAAAACATCAATGTTCAATTTACAATGCATTCGATTATCTAATAATTTATAAGAGATTTATGTATAATTTACACTATTTTAAATTTTTTTCAATATAAATTCAAACTTTTTCATTTATAAATAATAATATTTTTAAAATTATTAAATTATTTTTAACGATTTGAAATGTAGCTCACCTTCTATGTTGTCATATATAACCGCGTTATTTTGTATCCTAAATGTTATTATCTTATAAATAATTTTAATCTCAAAATAAACTTTTTTTACTAAATTTAATTTTAATCAATCAACTTCAAAATTTTTATGATAGAACTACGTAGTTTTGAGTTTCACATTGCACCTAAGAATACCTAGAAGCGAGAATCAAACATATCAAGTCAAAACGTTTTTTAAAATATTTTTTTTCCTTTCCTAAAGGTACCAGTTAATATTTTTAAAAAAATTTCCTTTAATAATAAAAATTAACAACACTTTTTATTTAAAGGTTAAATAAATATTTTTAAAAATTAAAATAATTGCACAATTAATTTAAAGTTACCATCTTTAAACAAATATTGTAAGGTGTTAATACCTTCCTTACATGTAAATAACTCTTGAACTCATTTTTTTGTTTCAAATATCATTTTTCAAAGTTTTCTTGAAATTTTTTTAACTAAAATTTGGTAGCGACTCTTCTAATTTTTAGAAAATATTTTTTTATTCTTAAAAGATATTTTCTTTAAACACGTTTTTGCCATACCGTTGTAGCCTCCGGTTGCAACACAATTTTATTTTATTTTTATTTGTATTCAAAATTTCTTCTCCTTTTGAATTAGCATACAATTTTCAGCGACTTTTGATTGTCAAATTGAAAGCATATGTTACTTCTATTTTTGTTTTGCATTTTGCATCTTACTCAATTGATAGACTTAATGTTTAGTTAATTCCTTGAGTCTAGATAGAATTTCTAAGGGGCTACAAGGCTTTTTCTATATTTTTAATTATGTCCTATTGCCTTTTGAATCGCATAACAACCTCATCTTAAACTCTTAATTAGCTAATCGCATATTAAAGGTCCTTGTGAGATTATCCTAGTCGCTTTGCCTTATGTTGCAAGTAACAAGAATGTTTTGATTTCTGTATAGCTGCAAATAAGTGGGTAAGGTCATTGAATAGGATGTTATCAAGGACATATAATATAGGGTGTGGGGTTACCCTCCAAATATGCAGGTAATGAATCTAGGTATTTACTTTTTCCTTCTCAACTTTAATAACAAAGAAGTACTGTACAAAGTTTACAATGTAGGTCCTTAGAATGTCGTGGATCACCCACAGAGCTAGCAAGTTTAGTCCCCATAATTCTCTATTTTTGAGTTGAAGTTTGAACATGTATCC